TAGCAGGAGTACGGAGGCAGAGTGAGGGAATTGTGAAGAACAGGAGGAGGTACCTCATGGTGGTAGTTTCTGGAGGGATGAATCAACAGCGGAATCAGATTGTTGACGCTGTTGTCATTGCTAGGATTCTTGGGGCTGCTTTGGTTGTTCCTATATTGCAAGTCAATGTCATTTGGGAAGATGAAGGTAAAAAGATATACAGATTCTTGTTCTGGTCTCGTTCTTGGTTGATCTTTATGTTAAATGAAGAGTTGAATTTTGCTGATTATAAATTAAGCTTTACTTTTGAAATTATATCCGTTAGTTTCAGTTGATCATTAATTTCTTTGATCACAAGATAGCCTTTTTCCTTACCTGAGGTTTGTTTCCATTTTGCAGTGAATTTCTGATATATTTGATTTGGAGCACTTAGATGTTCTTGCCAATGATGTGAGGGTGGTTTCAGCTTTGCCATCAACACATCTAATGACAAGGCCAGTAGAGGGGAGCCCTCCCCTTCATGCCACTCCCAGTTGGATTCGATCACACTATCTCAGAAGAGTAAGTTTGTTTTATCTCCACATTTGATCATTTCTGTGGATATCACTAAAATATCTGATAGAAATATAAGTGTTCAGTATCATACACAAGTTGTTAGAAGTTAGAACCCTCTATGCTATTGTTTTAACTGCAGTGTTAATTGTGAATGCTTTTACTCAAGTGTTGTTCTTGTTTGAACAAGAGTTTAACATGATTCCTGTTGTTCTATGCAGTCAACAGAGAAGGTGTCTTGCTTTTACGTGGACTGGATTCGAGGCTGACAAAGGATCTTCCTCCTGATCTTCAAAAGCTTAGATGCAAGGTATGGAAAATTCTATATTCTCATGACAAAGAGGGAAAGGCAATTTGGAACTTCCTTTATATGCCTGTTTGGATATAAAGATGAAAATGCATCTGATAGTTTCTCCATAGAAAAATATTCATAATGTTCTCACTTGTATTTCAGGTTGCTTTTCATGCATTAAGTTTGCAAAGCCTGTTCAGGAACTTGGTAACAACATTGCCGAGAGAATGAAAAGCAAGGGACCTTACCTTGCTCTTCATCTACGGATGGAAAAGGATGTCTGGGTGAGAACTGGTTGTCTACCTGGTCTGAGTCCTGAGCATGATGAGATTGTAAAAAATGAGAGGATAAATAGGCCTGAACTCTTAACTGCGAAATCAAACATGACATACCATGAAAGGAAGCTGGCTGGTCTCTGCCCCTTAAATGCTGTGGAGGTTACCAGGTAGATATAATCCTTCATTCTGTTTTTTCTACCATGATAATACATGTTTAAATAGAATTTAGGTGTCTTCTAAGTGTTAGTGTGTGAAGCTTTTCTATCCTTTTTTCTCCTTCTCATTTTAGGCTGCTTAAAGCTCTAGGAGCTCCAAAAAGTGCAAGAATTTACTGGGCTGGAGACAACCGTTAGGTGGGAAAGAGGCATTGCAACCACTAATCAACGAGTTTCAAAATATTTACAGCAAGGAAGATCTTGCTTTACCTGGAGAACTAGAACCATTTGCAAATAAAGCTTCCCTAATGGCTGCCATAGATTACATAGTCTCTGAGAAGAGTGATGTTTTCATGCCATCTCATGAGAAATATGGGCCATGCAATTCAGGTATTATAAGACTATATAAACATTTCTTTAGCTAGAATAAGTTTGGCTAAACCTATTTAGAAGCATTCATTGGAGACAATAAGGCATTCAAACCTAAGCAAGGCTTGTAACCCAACCCATCTGGCTGCTCCCAAAACTCACTCTTTTCAACCTCTTCAACTGTTTCCACCCCTCTTGGAACCTGTGCATGTAACTGCACACTGGTAATCAGAGGCTCTGAAACAGTGTCATCTGCACCATCCAAAATACCACCCTCCTGTGACACAACTCCGGGCATGGATTTTGAGAAGCCTACTGAGGTTGCACAAGGGAAGGGAGGAAATGGGGTGTCCAGATTGAAGCCCAGCTTGATCATGGCTAAGAAGGCAAGGAGAGAGAGAATGAAAAGGAACAATCTTGGCCTACTCCATTTGACAAAGCTGAAGACTTTGGAATGTCTTGCACATTTCTTGGGAGATTCGAGCAAGGATTGAAGAGAAGAAGACGATATGGAGTTGATGATCTGAGAAGGGACTGAAATGTAAGACAACTTCTTGGCATTGTTCTTGGACTTTGCCATGGCTTTCTTCTCCAAGATTCAATGCTTCTTTGATTGGTGAGTTTTATAATAGCCTTGTGATGTGTTGTTTGTTAATGGCTAATGGTTTTTTCTATTTCAATTATTTTCTAGAGAGAGAAGTAGGTGTCTGGAGGAGAGAGAAGAGGCGGCGGGAACACCGAGTTTGTCTGACGACCAAAGGCAACGCGTTCATCAAAAAGTCCCTCCGGTTTTGAGTTTGGACAAAATCTTGTTTTGTTTTTTTTTTGTGTGCTTTCGTCGCATAGTTACTTTTTTGTTGTCCATGTGTTTTGAACAAGATTATTTTATTTTATTACCTAAAGAATACTAGATATTTATTCAAATAAATGTTTCATTATTTCTATTCAAATACTAAAATAATAACAATTTCTACAAAAGTAAATTAATTAATTAATTGGACTTTCAATTTTTTTTTCACACTATATTTTTAAGTAGCAAATAATTGTTAAATAAGTCTAACAAGTTTTTTCTATTTATACAAGGATCTAGGTTTTTTTTCAATAAAGAAATAAAAATCAATATTAAAAGTTTGAATAAAAAATTAATATTCAAACTTGAAAGGAACATTGTTCCAAGTAGGGATAAGCATTGAATATAGATTCACTAATATTATAAATGAGTAACTTCTTCACTAAATTAAACTCCTCTCTTACAAATATATATATTAATTAACTTCAATGAATGACTCAATGATTAATCAACATACATTTAGGTATTTTCATATGGTAAAATGTGAGATTTTTATATTTTTTTTTCAGATAGTGTAATATTATATTAATTTTTCTTTTTTTTTCTTTCTATAAGTTTTCCTAAATACTACCAAATAAATGTACTTCATCAAAAACTAGGAATAATGATTAAATAGTTGTTTCACCTCAAAGATTTTACTATTCAATCCTTTATCTAGATGTAAGAATGAAGGTTATTGAAAAGATAAATTTCATTAGAAACAGTCACTAAATAAAGATTAAGAAATATTTAATATCAACATAATATTAAAAAAGAAGGTTTTGTCAAGTACAGCTCACACCAGCATATAGTGAGTAGATGGAATAGTAAGAAATTTGAAACACATGATGGAATAGAAAATTTCTTGAAGTATGAAAAAGGGTAATAGAAAAAGATGATTATAGAATATGGAATATTAGGGTTAGGGTTTGGTACAAGTCTCTATGAATGCATAAAAAATGGATAGACATTGAAGTGTGTGTGCATTGTTTCATGGCTAAAGCCAGCTGGCCATGGAAGAATGAATCAACAAGTAAGAGAGAAAAGTATCATTCTATTTATTGGTAGCTTCCACAATATTTCTTCTTACCACAAATTGAGAACTAATTAAAAGCATTTTTTATATTATGAACATATTTGAGATAGTTTGCTCACAAATTTTTGTTATAAAAAAAATTATTTTGTGTATTATTCCTTCTCATCTAAAAATTTTATACTTATCTTGACATTTTTATGTATAAATTTAGCCTCTTAATATAGAAACTAATCTAAAGTATTTTTTTAGGTTTTTTCTGTGTGAAATTAAAATTTATACATTTTTCAGATTTGTGAAAAAATAAAGAGAAATAAGTACAAAATTGTTAGACTTTTCTATATTCAAAATGGGTAGAATTATTATTATTATTATTATAATAGTCTCTGTTTTACTGTCAGATGCCAGCTGGATCCTCTTCATACTACAGTCACTCTGTGCCACGCCAGACAAATTCATGTTACAACAACTACCACGTCAGCACTGCTTTGTCGTGTGGGAATGTGCCCTACCACAGTTTTTCTTTTTGGACCACTGAAAGGGTTGTTAAATTTAGTTATGTTTTAAATGAAATGAAATATTTATAATTATTTTTAAAATTTTATATTAAGTGAATTTTATTTTTAATTCTTAAATGAAAAATTATTCACACAAATAAAATAAAAAACATGGGTTTTAATTTGGTCAACATTTTACACCCAATGAAGAAGTTTGTGTCTCAAGTTTTCACAACCGTCGTAATGATGACATTGTTAGGTTTGCTTCAACTACTATGTCACATTACAGTGTTATCAAACTTTTTCCAAAATAATTCTATATAATTATATTTTAAATTCATCCATAAAGTCATATTTTAATTCATTTACATATTTTTAAAAATAAAGATTAATTCCAGAAAAACCTCACCTTAAGAAAATGGAAATTAACTCCATGGGTAGCCTCCAAAACATTTTTTTTTGTCACTTTCTTTGACCATTATATGGCTAATAAATAATTGTATTTCTCTTTCATTCCATCATAAATATAGAAAATGGTGTCACCATGTGATTGGAATTTTCAATTCAACAAAGACAATACACAGACATGGCAGTGGACATGTAAAGAAAAAGACATTATCTCAGACTCTGTATTTTTTAAAAGAAAAAAATGGAAATAATGACCATTACCAAGCACAATCTCTTGTCACCAGCATGATCTACTCAGTTCATGATTTTAATATATAACAATTCAATTATAAAAGATTTCAAACTATAATGATTTCATCACAAGTGATGTACTCTTCTTAAAATCTCAAGTCTTCAATTTATTAAACTAAATTTTAAACTTTCTATTATAATATAATGATTAGTTGAATTTAATCATAATATCAATTGGAGGAAGCCATTTAATAAAAAGGATTATTTAATTTTATTTAATTTTAATTTTAAGTCTAGTATTAAGTAAAAATTAAATAATTAAATAATTTATAAGAAAAAATATTTACAAATTTATTATCTTAAAGTTTTTAATTAAAAATAATTTAATTTTTATGTAGATTTGGATTTATATTTAATTAGTGTTGTCTTTCTCTTGAGAATTCTCTTCCAAAAAATTTATCAATAAACTTTTTATACATGAATATGATATTATGGTAATGATAAGGTTTTTTATCATGCAATAATCTCTAACTACTTGTAAACCATAATTTAACAACTCTTAAATGTGGTGAAAGTGGGTATCTTAATTTCTTTAGTTTTCTTTATAACTTTATTCATTTGGAATGTGGCTTAAGAGCTAGCAAGGTTGTAAATGGTGTTGATGCAATTTTTCTTTAGCCCTAAGAGAATCATAATCATTATTTCAACATTATTGAGTGTTCTTCCATCATAAGTAATATTAAGAAAATAGTTTGTGGAGATATTAAGGGCAAGTGGATGAAAGCTTCCCATTATTATAAAGACTTAAGGAATATGCTAAAAACTTCACAATTGACAAAGAAAGAGAAAACCAACCATCATTAATATATTAATATCTTTCTTTTTCTAAGCTTAATCTGATTTATGCTGACTTCTTCAATGTTTTGGTTCCATTTGGCATTTTAGTGAACATAAAAAAAATTACAAAGTGGTGTACTTAATTGGTCAAAATCATTGAGAATTATTAAAGTTAATATACATTGAATGACCTAACATTTCTCTCTCACATACCCCATTAAGAATAGCACATAACATTTAATTTTTGTTTTTAAAAAGGGAAGAGTGCATTGTAATGGAAGAATATTAACCTTGTACTAATGATATTGGAAACCTAGTTTGCATCCATTATGAGCCCTACATTACATGTCTCAATACTAATAAAATATCATGACACATTTTCTTTGGTTAGAATGGTTGCAAGAGAAGGTTGAATTGCACCATTAACTAACTACCACTCAAGCTCTTTATCAAACCTTTTAAACTTTGTAGTATTAAGCAAAGAATATTGCACAAACAAGTAACCCTTTGGTATTGGATTGTTGAAAATGTGGTGAATATGACACTATGTTTTTGTTAGTGTACAAATGTGGTCAAATTACTCTTTTTTACAAGACATCATAACATGTTGGTTAAGAATGTTTTGAGTACAATTGAAGAATCCATATCTAGTTAGTTAAGAATATGTTATATATCTTATTTGTTCACTTCTTTGAGTATAATTACCTATCCCAAAGTAAAAAAACATCATAAGAATTTGTTATACTAAATTTTAATGATGTAAGAATTGTAAGAGACATAAATTTTAAATTAAGAAATTAGTAAACTTATTCCAAACCCATTAATGGTTTGGGTGAACACCAATCATGGCTTTGCTTCATCATTGGCAAATTAGGAAAATACAAAGTGACAAGTGGGGTCCACTACTTTCTACTAAACAACCCTATTCTAATGTGTATATATATTAACCTAATTTCATGTAAATCCCCTTTACAAGAAACTCTACCTTTAATTCCAAGAAAATGAAAGGTCCCTCTTGCTTTTGTCAGAACAGACAAGTTATATAATTAGTTCTACAAAACATGGCCCATTTTAGTTTTTATTTTTTATTTTTATTTTTTTGTGTAATAAGTATATAGAACTTTTATTTGTTATCTAATTAATTTTCCTTTTTTTTGTGTACTTTAGTGTAATGTGTTACTTCTTCTGTATTTAAATATAAGTAAAAAAAAGTATATTTAGATAAATTAGGCATAAAAAATTTATTTTCC